GGCTAAATGATAAAACAACAGCTAAAAAACTGTTAAACATCCGGTTCCTCTTGACAGTTCCAGTAAAAAGATGTCGAGGGAGACATGAAGAATTCTTGCTTGGAGCACTTACACGTGCTCTGTCTGGTAGTGAAACCAAAAATCGTCATCAAATTTCTCTTCGTTTCTAATATTTCCTTCTTTTATATTCTCTTCAAACTTTTCTGCCTTTTTCATGTGTCTCTCTCTCTCTCTCTCTCTCTCTCTCTCTCTCTCTCTCTCTCTCTCTCTCGTACTCACACTCTGTATTTGTGTATCGCTCACTCGTAACCGTTTGTCTCTAACCTTTTTCTTTCTTTTCTCTTTTTGTTTTTTTCTTTCCCTTAATTCTATTTTCTCTTTCTTTTCATTTTCCTTTTTTGTATTCATTTTAATTCAAAAGAATTTGTTTATACCCTTTTTTCCGTTTTTTCTGTTCCCACTTTCATTCCATATATTTTCTTATTCTTCCTTTTTTTTCTTTATCATCCTTTTTTAATTTCTCTCAGAATGCCTTTCTTCTTCGTCCATTCTTTTCTTTTCTTTCTATTCTTTCTTTTTCATGCTTTTATACTTTCTTTCCAAATGACTTCCTTCTTCCACTCTTTTCGCATCTTTCTTCTATCTATTTCAGTTTCGAAAAAGTTTATTTTTGAATACCGTTCTTTCACGTCTTTTTTCTTTTTCTTTGTTTTTTTTTTTCCAATAATATTGTCTTTTTTGTGCTTCTTTCTTTATTCATTCATTACTCTTTTTTTTTCCTTTTATTTCTTTGTCTCTTAATTTTTTTATACTTTCTTTTTGGAAGTTTTTCTTTATACACTCGTCTTCTTTTTATTTACTTTTCTATATTTTCATACTTTCCAAAATGTTCAACTTTTTCTCTTTCCATTTTTCTTCTCTTTCTTTCATTCATGTACTTTTTATTCATTCTTCCCTTTGTTCCTTTTTCTTTTTCTACATTGTATATTTCTTCATTTTCTTCATTTTATATTTCTTTCTTCTCTTTATTTTCTTATTTTTCTTTATCTCTTTTCTGTAATGTTTTTCTGCTGATTTTCCAAGAATTTTGGTTTGTTTTTTTTTTCTGTTGGCACTTTATTTCTTTCTTCTTTTTTTTTTTCACGTTTCTCCCTTTACTTTCTTCTATTTTATCCTGCCTGTATTCGTTTTTAACTCTTTCTCGTCTGCTTTTTTCTAGTAATTTGTTTTAGAATCTTTTATCTATACTTACTTTTATATCATTTTCGCTACTCTTACTTATTCTGTTTCTTTTTCGATTTTTAATTTAAACATTTATTAAACAAAAATTTAATCCTTCGTTACTCTCTTTATTTTCAGAACTCTTTCTTCCTTCCAAATATTCTTAATTTTTTCTTTATTTTGAATTTATCTTTCATAAACTTGTTTCTTTTTCTTTTGTGGCATCCGTTGTTTTCCCACTTCTTTTTATATTTATATATTCATATATTTATTTCCCTTTTCTTTCTTTTATCTTTTACATATGGCTTTTCTTTTTTCCTCTCTTGTTTCCTTTTCTTCTATTTCTCTTTCTTTCTTACATTTTCTTTCCTCAATTGTTTTTTTCTTTTTTCTTTCACTTTTTTCCTACTGTTTGATTTTACTTTTTATCTATGTATCCGTTTTCTTTTTCTATCTTTACTTGTCTGTTCTTTTTTATTATTTCCAGCTTTCATTTCCCACTTTTCTCCTTTACTTTCTTCGTTTCAATTTTTCTTTCTTTTCACATTTTGTTGTTTATTTTCTTTTGTATCTCCATTTTTATTTCTTTCCTAGTTTTCATCGCTTCCTTCCTTCTCTCTATGTCCTTCTCCGTTTTTATTCTTTTTGTTTCTTCCTCTTGTTTTCTTTCTTTTGTTTTTTTCTTTTCCTTTCTCTTCTTATATTTCCTCCTTTCTTACTTCAAATACATTTCTGCTTTTGGCTTTTCTAGATTTACACAATGTCGGATTATCTCGTCTTTGAATTGGAAAAACGAGAAGAAAACGAGACTTATTTTCATGCATGCGCTAACAAAGCAAGCTGAAAAACAATATAGGCAGTCATGTAAGAGTTAAGAGAAGTCACGATTTTAAAGAGGATGGAAATATATATATAGAAAGAGAGAGACGAAGAACGTAAAAAGAATCCTGCACAGTCAATTCTACTTGACACAACTGCCAACGTTATTTACAGATATGATCGGCCAAGGAAACTAAAACAACTGAAGCTTACCACTCTGCAGCCGCCTACTTCTACGGCTTTCTCTTATTCAAACCTCACATACACATTAGCACCATTATGAATTTTACATCTTTATATCTATCCCTTTTTCTCTTTTCCTATCTTATCTTATATATCTTTCTTTTTTCATTTCTCTGTTCTTTCTTTCTTTGTTTTCCCTCTACTTATAGCTTTTTCTTACTCATTAAGCTTTTTTTTCTGTTTTACTTCCTTTTTATCCTCTTTCTTCATTCTTTTTATTTCCAAAATGATTTACAATTATTTCTTTCTTCTATAAGGATTCAGCAACAAGTAAACACAGTTTGCGCATGCGCGTGTATGCACATGCGTGTTTTCATTTCAAGAATCGCCTCAACTCCTTCTCGCTGTTTGCGTTTATAAATGAATTACGATATTGTAGCATTGACAAGTGTTGACAATTTGGTCTCATGCCTTTTACAATAGTGTCACTACAATATAAAAGTGACGGTTAGAAATAAATCAGAAAAAGTCTCGTTGCTTTCATTTTCTAATATCCTTTTTCAATGTTTATTCACCATCGCCAGAACGTCTTTGCGTGGATATTTTGTTATAACGTAACGGATTTTACAAGGGTAGATGTAATGTTTACAAAGGTTTATCAAGAGTTTTATCCTTATAAAGCCATTAGGCCGTTTTTTAAAATATTTGTTGAACTAAGCCAACAAAAAGACGGATTTCTAGAACACTCGATCAAAATCAATCATTCTCTCAGCAACTTCCGAGATAAAGACACAAGTCATTGCAGCAACAGAAGAACAGCATCTGATAAGACATAATGAATAATGTGTGCCTGCCGAAGACCGGCAATTCGCAGGATAGCCTCACAAATCACTGATTGATGTGATTAGATCGATCCTTACTAGTTACCCCACTATTAATTCGTTGTGTCAAACTAATCTAAGCTAAGTATATAAATTTGAGTCGTCTGTGGTAGCCTGATGTTCCGCAGTAATGAAGTGCTTGGAAAGTGAGAAGAATATCATGATTTTCTCCACTTTCCAAGAACCATGTTAGTGATATACGAACTATACGAACGCCTTAACACAACGAAAGAAATGACTAGAATAACTCAAAAATATAATTCCAAAAATTATGTCAAAACACATATATATATATATATATATATATATATATATATCATAAAGAATTTGTGGTTGTCTCGCTAGAACAATCACGACTGAGTAATGAGTTAGATCCTTACTAGGTGCCGCGTACTTTTCGCCTTGTGCCACATCTAAGCTACGCTTAGAACATCACCATAAAGACTTTGTGGCACGGATGAATAATATATTTGTGAACATCACAGATTCCCCCACACAGTGAAAATATATGAATAAAACAATGATAATGTCCTTTATGATCTGTATTTAGGCCGCATGAATATCGTTCGATTATCGAACCGCCGCTGACTACTAGATCTATCTTCCTCGCAGTCTACGCAGCAACTGTCGATTGTCACTCACGGGCGGACGTCACTCACGAGTTTTGAGGTAATCTCCCAGGATGTTAGTAAATCCGTCCTGTAAAAAGGGAGACAGTCGCTTTCTCCATCTCTTACAGATTAGTCGCTAAGGTAGTGAATTCGATCTTCACGAAGTTCTCCAGTATTGTAACCATGTACCAAAATTTTCTGATATAAATTTTAGGCTCCTGATATAGTTCGATGGTTGGCAAATTTGTCTCGCAGTGCTATTCACTAATGTGAAGAGTATGATTGTATTTCCTAGTACCTTGGGTTTGTACTAGTCAGTGACGATTGGAATGATTGCTTAAAACTATTATAAATAAAATATTGAAATGTACATGAGAATTATTTTTTTTAGTTCACGATTCTAACGATCTTCAAAATAAGTTCAGCATCATTTCGTTTTCGTCTTTATATTCGCATTTATTATTGCATCTGAATGAGAGCATGTTTGTGAGTGCGCCTTATTTTATCATTTAATCTGATGCTCTTATTTTCTCTAGTTAACGCTTCTTTTCTGTCATATTTTGATTATTTAGGCCCTGATACTGACAACCTTTTTCCCTGTTTCTGTTTTTTAATCATTTCACTTCAAGCAACGGATCAAAGTCACTAAAAAGCAAGTGGTTGCTGAGTATGAAATAATCTGAAAAAATCCATTATTAATGAAAGATAACAGCATAAGAACAGAAATTAGAAGACAAAAGATGACGATAGACGTTGCATTTAAATTCTTGACGATCAGAGTTGATTGGAAAGCAAAAAGTGCGAGAGAAGAAACTATTAGCAAAGAACTTATGGTTACATGAAGCACTAGACAAGATTCAACGCATGAATATTGCCGTCGCATCTGCTATGTAGTTAGAGATGATTGATAAAATCTAAAGAAAAATCGGCAAAGTAATCAATCTTGAACTCAGTTTCAGTCATTTTCCCTGTGCATTTTCTGTAAATGTTTTCATGGTAATTATCTAATAAGCTTTCCTCTTTGGTTTTTGATTGAGTGATTTGTTTTCTACGGCTCATCAACCATTTACATGCTATTTAAAGCCAGAAAATATTATTTTAGATTGTAAGAATTTGGAGGGGGTGATAATAATGGTATTAGTGATACAAATCTTACTAATTAACCCATAGCTGGAGTATTTTGCGTGTAAGTGAATATAGCGAACTCAACAGGAATTGGAACTCGGCTCTCCGATTAACAATTCCGAGCCGTTATTCATTGCACCACTCGTACATCCAAGCTTAAAGCGCCTAGTATTCCCGAGCGATCATCCATCTAGGTACTAATCTGGCTCAACGTTGCTTAACTTCGGTGATCGTACGGGAACCAGTGGTTCAACGTGATACGGCCGTAAGCCTTACGTTTTTGGTGCCTCCACTTTATCTACTAGATTGGCAGTTAGGTCTCATCATTTTAAAATTAATAACTGTAACTATATATACATTGCAGATAATCATGGGAGATCTGTGTTAATTGTGCATAATTAAAGTGTATATATGAAACTAGTCAAAACTTCATTAAGAATTTGTGGTTGTCTCGCTAGAACAATTACGACTGAGTAATGTGTTAGATCCTCACTAGGTGCCCCATACTTTCGGCCTTGTGCCGCATCTAAGCTACGCTTAGAACATCACTGTAAAGACTTTGTGGCATTTGCACGGATAAATAATATATTTTTGAAGTTTTGGTGAAATTAAAAATAATCAAAGGAATAAGTCAGTAATTGTGACTGGCTAGTTAAATATTAATAACCATCCTTCCCTTCCCGCCATTTTTAGGTTTTCTGTTTATTTCTTGTATAATAATGCAAAAATAAATTCCTTAAAATTATTCAATAATAAAAATAGTTTCCAATGGTCTTTCGTAAAGTAGTTTCTAGTGAAGATCTATAGTGTAATTATATGTAATGAATTTCTACAGTAGAATAATTTACAATAAAATTCTCTATTAAAATAATTGGCAGTGGATTTCTGAAGTAAAATTATTTGCAATGAATTTCTCTCTCTTTTTCAAGGACACTCGTCTGCTAGGTCAGCTAGAACGAATTACAAATACCTACTCGGGCACATGGGCACCTCGAGGCGGTGTAATAGTTAGCAAACTTGTTTCGCTAGAACCGTTACCACTGAGTAGTGAGTTCGATTCTCACTGGGTGCCCACTACTTTCGGCCTTGTGCCACATCTAAGCTACGCTTGGAAAATCACTATTGGGCACCTCGTCATAGCGTAATGGTTAGAAAGCTTGTCTTGCTAGATCAGTTACGACTGAGTTGTGAATTCGATCCTCATTGGGTGCCCCATGCTTTCAGCCTCGTACCATATCTAATCCCCGCTTAGAAAATCATTACCTGCTCAGGCATATCTGTGTTTATTCTACACCCACAAAACTTATACTGAAACTGTGCTGGGCGGATTTTAGTTACAATTTCTTCAAGATAGCATATAAACAATTCGAACCTGACCAGTACGCTCAAACCCTCTGTCACAGTGACTTGTGACTTCCTGCTAACGCAGCCATCAACGGGTTTTGATAGGTTCTATTTACCTAATTACACTTACAATGCTTAGATCAAATCGTGGCATGATTTTCCATGAAATTGCCACCGAAGGTCAATAACATCAAAAAGTCACCGCCCTAAGGAATCTGACATGGTGAGATTCGAACTTGGATCTCATGATCAGAAAATGAACATCCTAACCACTTATCAACGTGTCCATAATACTGTGTTACATGATTTTTGTCCTTGGTAGCAACTATTAGTTTCTATTTGTTTACGCCTAAAAAACATGATTCAAAAGTAGCATTTATTTATTCCAGGGTTATAGAAGACCACAAAAAATTAAGAAGTGAGTAGTTTTCTACGATTTACGCTTATATATTAATTATTACTTTCACAAATCAGCTCCAAAATATAATCTCCTATCATGTTTTCGCTATACGATCCTTGGTAACCGCGTTCAAAGTCCAGTATATCCTATTGGAAGCATTAGCCTTGCTCTTCTAAATATATCCCCATGTTCTGAGCGTTAAGGATATGGATTTTGAGGAATATCCTGCAGCCCATTTTGCCGTAGTTCTTCAAAAGAGTCTAAAAAAACTTGCACTATATAATCTTCTTTATTTGTGGTCCGACGAAGATATCTGCTTTGATTTTGTCCGGTGACAACATAGGGTAGAAATCTTGAAGGTACTTAAAGACCGCAGATTCCTTATTCTAGAGCTGTCAAAAATTGTTTCAGAAGGTGCAATTTTACGTGAAGTGCAGGAAACAATAGTTCCTGGGGGCCAAACAGTGGCTCTCAATTGACGTTGTTCTTTCCCGCACTGAACTTGGTCCTCTGTGGCCAGTCCCGCCTGTGTTAGTGTCTCACGTTGTCCCTGTTGTCCCAAAGGCAAAAATAACACGCAAACTTAGCAAAGCCACCTTGGAAAACCATTAGGAAGGTCACCATTTTGAAGTCTCCATTAACTTCGCAACTGTACTATTCCTATTACAAGGTATCTAGCAAGATCTTGATATTGTTGTATTTCTTTTTGAGCTGCACCGAGTGAGCCAGGGGAAGAGATGGATACATGTTTCTGTTATGAAGAAGTACGGCTTTGAGCCTCCTGGATGAGAGGTCGATGAAGAAGCGCCACTCACTTGAATTACAGATGATTCCATTTGCTTAGAACAGATCAGTCGCATTGTGAAGAAGCAAATCCCATCTTGACAGGTGAAAAGATTTGAAAATACTTGTGACGCTTTCTCTGACCTGCGACTTTTACATTTTCATCTAATAAATTCCACTGTTTAAGTCTCGATGCCAAAAACTCGGCATTGAACTTTGCGATATCAAAATCTCCCATCAGGTCGTTGAGATCTTTTGGTTGAGGTAATATAGGTTTCTTTCCTTAGCTGATACTCTGTCATCTGGATCAATGATTTCATCCTCTTTTGAATTGCTGTTCTCTTTTTGGAGGGGGTGGGGATACAGAGATCAGCACAGTATGGAAATAGATTGATGGATGACATTAGGTCTTGATATATCATAGCAGGCGCATTGTTGTTAGTTCGATGTTTGGAGGGGGTTCATCATGCAATTGCTTGAGTGATCAGTTGCTTTTGCAAATTTCATGGCTCTATTTTTCTCCTCTGTACCAAAATAAAAATATGAGTATAAAAATACAAATATATTTCACCCAGTCTTATTCAAGAAGTCTAAAAAAATGCATTCTTGATTTTTTTTTTTTTTTTACGTCTAAAACTCGTGCTCTGGATATGTAAAATCCTGGCTTTGGATCCCAATTAATGTAGCAAATGCCAATAATGAACATCCCTAATATTCTGTATTTTTATGACTCTTACCAATGATTCACAATAGAAAGGTTAGAAAACATCTATGATATTGTGGACACTAATGCTAGATTGTTGAAACATATTTAATACATATTTTTCAATAACACTGGTTTAAAAAATAAAAGTAAAAAATACTTAAATTTTTAAAAATTCCAAAACTTTTACACTTAAAACTTCTACTATCCATCTTACCTTCTAGAGTCCATTTGCAGAGTTCGCAAGTGAATTGAAATGCCCAGGGGTTGTCTTGATCTCTGACAGGCATGCCGAAATATGCCTTGTAAGTCTCACACATTTTAGCAGATGTTACCACAGAGTACTTTTTTAGCTTTGTCTTGATAAATTCGCCACATACATAGCAAAACGTGTCTACCGAATGTTTACAACCTTTTGATGCCACCAGTGACGAATTTAACTTGACTTTTCGGCACTTGGACAGCTAGGAGCAAACTGAACTGTTGATCTTACGTTTTCTGTATTTATACTGCCATCTGTACGTTCTAGAAATTCTTGAAACTTTTAGAAACTTCTCGAAAGTTCCAGAAAATTCTTTCAGCAACTCAGCGATAAATCTCTCTACAACGTAATGGAAAATAAGATTAGTTTCAAAACATCGATGTTCAGATTACAAAAGCAAAGTTTGACGGCATTTATTTTACTTTCTAAAGAGAAGCTATTAGGAAATTATATTTACTGTCCAAAGACAAAAACGCCAAAATTGTTTACACATTGTAATTTCTCTACATACTTTTAATATTTGTGTCATTAAATATTTGAGCCTTAGATTGAAATTAATGTTTCTTATTGATCTGTTTGCTTAGTAAATCCTATTCATGACATAAGGTGTGTTTAGTAAATGTTTAACTTAACATTTTCAGGTCTAGGGCTAACCGTTACCTTTCCCACATATCCTCATAAACTGTGCCTCTTACATCTGACCACTCATACAGCAAACTCCTTCAGTAATCTTCTACCTCGGGTGGTTCCCTGACAACATAGCTATGATATCATCCCCGTCCCCAGGACAATCAGTGTACTGTCACATCAGTTCACTATCCGGAAGACGCTTTGCTTTCAAGGTATGCTCTACATACTTTAGGTGAAATCATCTCCCCTTGTCCCGTTCTTTTTCCAATCTTTCTCTTTTGTCTTTTGTTAAAGGCAATTTCGGAGACCATTACAATCAAAGTGAGTTTGATCCTAACTGGATGACTCACTCTTCTAGCCCTGTGCTGTACTAGGTTAAGCTTAGTAAAAGTAGATATCTTGAGAACTTGGATGTCTTTTTTCAGCCCTTAGTCATTCATAATGAGTGTTGCTGGGACTTGCATCGACGCCTCTTCTCAAGCATGACATTTGGCAAGACAGCATTGAATCGACGTCTTAGCGACGAAGGCTGCGACATTATTAACCACATTCATTGGTCAGGCAATATGAGACACAAATAAGCTACTAAGTAGAATATACTGAGTGATTCTCTCGGTTTGATGCACATGTATGTTGAAGAAGTGTACTGTGGTTATTACCAAGAGAACTGATGAGACATTATCATAACGATGGATAATGGCAATGCTTTCATGGCAATTCTTCTGATGAACTTTCCGCTATGGTACCAAGACTTTATGAATTTAACCGCAGTACTAGGTTGGTGGCAAGGTCTCATCATTTTACAGTTGAAATCGTTAGATGTAACCGGAAGTTCTGTGCTAACAGTTTCTTATATCACACTTCTCTCTTTTTGAACTCTCTTCCGGCGTTTTGCTTCCGGGTCAACTTTGATCTTCAAAAATTTAAATGCAATGTCAATCGTTATCTTCTGTTTTCTTAATTCTTGTTCTTTTATCGTCCTCTCTCTCCTTAATAGTAATTTTTTCTCATATTCTCTAGCACTCAGTAAACCCCTTCTGTCCTAATACCTTTATTTCTTTGCTTGGGATGAAATGATTTTAAAAAATCACATTTTTCTTTTAAAATGTAATACTGAATCAGTTTCATCAAAGTGCATTTTAGAAAG